ATTCTCCTCTTCTCTCTTCTTTTGGTTTCTCTTTATTTATTTATTAATTTTCTTCCCTATGGATCTACCCGCCGTCCGCCTCCTTTGCATGGAGCAAGGGGAATGCTCCCTCGAGGACCATACTAGGGACTTTTTAGATCTTGCCTGTCTTACTCATTATCCAGACAGCTGCCAGTGTACATTTTATTACGTCGGACATAACACCTCGAACAAAGCAAAGCTGTCTGGTGACGGTCCTCGAGGGAGTATCGCCGTTTTCTTGGAGTGGGTGCTGGAGAAACAGAGACGGCATTTCTCCGTCTGCCCCGCTGAGGAGGACATCTTCAGCCCCACTACCGAACCAGAGACCAGCCAGCCGTCATCCCACTGCACGGAGCAATCGCCGGAGCCCACCGCAGACGGGGAGCCTGAGCCAGCGCAAGAACCGGCGTTGGAGCCGATCATCGCCCCTGAGCCTCAAGAGATGTCTGACCAGGTGTGTGAGCTGGCCACACCGCACGTGCCTGAGGGAGTGCTCGTGGAGTTCGAGGGCTTGGAGGAGAGTCCCGGCCACAAGCCGAGGGTGAGCTGCAACTGGTCACTGGACATTACTGTGAGGACCTAATGGACATGTTTAAAGATGACTTAATGGACTGGGTTGGGGAGGCAATTCTTACGTTTCTGTGTCTCCTGAGTCTCCGCTGGTTCCGTCCTGCTCTCCTATGTCTCCTGGGTCTCCGTTGGTTCCGCCCAGCGCTCCTGCGTCTCCTGAGCCCCCTACAACTCTAAAGTTCCCTCCCAGCCTCCCTCTCCTGCCTCTTATGCCAGCCTGATCCCCAGCTCAGTCTCCGCTGGTGCCTGTTCGTCCCTCAGCTCACCCTCACTCAGCGCCATCCGGGCGCTCTGATCCGCCTCGGGTCTTCCAGTCTCCAGCTCCGTTTGGCGTGAGGATCCCCTGTCTCCGCCTCCAGCCTCCGAGTCCCGTACTCCACCCCGGTCCTCCGAACCATCGGCTCCGTCTTGGCTCCTAGCTCCCTCGTCTCCACCGTGGCCCGTCATCCCACTGGCTCCACGGGGATCCCTCGTCCCTCCGGCTCCACCTTGGTCAGTCGTCGAGCATCCGTCGCCTCGGGACTCCACTCCTCCGGCTTCGCCTCGTCACTCCATCCCTCTGGTTCCGCCTTCGTCCTCAGTCGCAACGGCTCCGCCGAGGTCTTCCGGATAACCCGTCTCGGTTGCCTGATCCGTCAGCCCCGACTTGGCCTCTCAGGACCTCGGGTGTTGTCCTGGCTCTCCGTCTCGGCTCCACCTGGGTCCCCCCCCTTCCAGTGGCTCCGTCTCCATCCCTCGTCCCCAGGGTGTCGTCTGCCAATACTCCATCATGGCTCCTCCCACCCTTCACTCCCCAATGGACTCATTTGGACTCTTTTCTTTTCTGCCCTTCTCCTGCTCCTCGCCCTCCTCCTGAACCCCCTCCCTCCTTCCTGTACATGGCGCGAGGACGCGCCTTCCCGGGAGCGGGGCGAACTGTTACGGTTGTGGAATTTTTAGTTGTGTTTTTCCCAGTTCCTGGTCTCCTGCCACGTTTTGTTCCGTTGACCTAGTTTTCCTTCGTTGTCCTGATTATGTCATTCTGATCACCTGTGTTCATTCAATCATGTCATTAGTCCCTTGTTTGTGCTTTAATATTTATACTCCCTGTTCGGTTCAGTCCTTTGCCGGTTATTGTTTGTTGTTGCGTTGCTCTATGCTCCTGGATTCTGTGTTAAGTTGATTAAAAAGTCTCCTTGTGGATTATCCTCCTTTGTCGTGCGTTTATACTGCACCAGCACATTACAGTTGGTAATGCAAGCACAAGTGAATTTTTATCTTGTCTGGATTGTTTTGGTATGCAGTAATTTGCTAAATTGCCCAGTCATTCTGAAGGGCACGCCTTTGGTCTCATTTGTTGTTTTGGTCGCACTTAATTTTCAATGATTGCTATTAACAAACCATTAACTATGACCTTTGCCTCAATAAACTCCTAATTTGCCATTTATCAATAGTTAGTAACGTAGCCGTTAACTTTAGGTATTGGGTAGGTTTAGGGATGTAGAATATGGTCATGCAGAGTATGTGCTTTATAAGTACTCATGAACAGGCAATATGTTAATAATAGGCATGCTAATAAGCAACTAGTTAATAGTGAGAATTGTTCCCTATACTAAAGTGTTATCATTTATCTGGTATGCGCATGGATGACTGATGAAAGTACGCAACTTTGCACAAAAAGCATCCCGCTTGAGCTAAAATATAAAAACTTATACGGGGCTTACCATGATGAATCAGCGTAACACAAAAACACGTTTGGAAGAAGGATGGATGGTGTATTGACTCATCATTTAAATTTTGTTAATTTATGAAAAAAATTATAATTAAAGAGTGTAGAGCTGCAATAACAAATCAATAAAATCTCTTATTATGGACAATGGGGGGAAAAAAAGTAATTGACAGATATTGATTATCAAAATAATCGTTAGTTGCAGCCCTAAAATAGTGCACCTGTTCTAATCTTGCATACTTCTGACTCGTGGCAAAAAAGTTTGGTCATCGTTGCATCTTATTTTGCTACGAAATGCAAACACTGATGCCTTTGTTCATTTTTGTCATCTCTTATGATGTTCTGCCCTCTAGTGGTTAAATAGCACTACTGTCGTTGGGTAGATCAGCTTTTGTGACAAACAATAATTGTGATACCAGACCAGTTTGTGAAGCATGACGATCGCTCAGTTTCAGTGTTTTCCTAAGCTAGAACATGGTATCTCACATAAAAATCATGTGTTAACAGGCTTACATGTGCAATGTGGGAAAGAGACAATTAAATGAATTCAAATAGTTCAAACAGTCACCTGATAGCGGTTCTATTGATGATGTTGTTGGAGAGGTTGATGAGGATGGTGATGCTGCTGAGGTTGGTGAAGGTGTTGATGCTGGTAATGTGGTTGGTGAGGATGGAGATGAAGGCAGTGAATGAGGAAAATGATGCAGAATTAGATTCTGTAACTTTAAAGTATTGTGATTTTTACACTTCTTAAATGTATTAATATATCATAGATTAATGATTTGTGTTGAGTATTTAGTCTTACATTGAAAGCATGTCTGATTGTAGTCAGGACAGCACTAATTATCATGCAAACTTTATAACAAAAACATGCATGGTAGCATTCGTTATTATGTCCAGGACAGCAGAGCATCACATTTTTTTTCAAACACCATTTAGTAAGCCATTTGGTTGTGATTCATTTGAAATTATTATAGCCTAGAAAGCAAGCAAACAGCACTTACATATCATCACTAAAAAGCTGTCACTCACTTCAATTTATCGCAATCTCACTTCGTTCCGTTATAATCAGCGAAGCTCTCTAAACTGCACATATAATATCTATTTACATCGTGTCTACGTGTAGTGTTTGGCATCGAGTGAATTCTGACTGTCTCATGTTGAATGCGTGAGAGTTGGCAGTCCTGTATGTATTTATATATTTCTTTATTAATATCTTATATTATTAATATCTTAACATATTATTATATCTTATATTAACCATTTGCACACACAAGCAATATCCGACTCGACTCCTCCCGACTGCAGACGCAGGTTTACAAGCCACTATTTCCTGCATTTTTCAGTCAACTTCTTGCCTTTTCCCTCCTTATCAACAGCTAATTTTCATACATGATAAAAGCTCCTTGTGGTTTCTCGGTTTGACCAATTTAAGCATCCCTAAACACAAAAAAATAGCCATTTTGAGGTTCTGCTAGCAATTCCTATATAGAAAAATCCCTTCCTGTCCTCCAGCTGCATTTCGCCCCACAGCAATGACGCCATGTGCAAACAACCTATGAGAGAGGGGAAGTGAACAACTAAATACACAGTGCAGAAGAACTTAGATGGCGAACAGCTGTAATAATTAATAAATGTCTATAGAAACTAATAATAAGCGGGAAACTAAGACAAAGGAACACATGTGACTGCAGATAACAAACTAAAAGTCCATGAAACTGAACTTATACATGACAAGTGTACAGTGTAAACCTTTACTCATGAGTTATACATATTAATAGTTGTCGACCGATATTGGTTTTTTGATGGCCGATGCTGATATCTTAGAGAGCAGGATGGCCAGTCCTTGTCAAGCCCTGTTGAAAATACGTGTGTTGGTGCCAGTATAGACTGACATTGAGTAAAGATGTGGAGATTGTCAAAATAAAGGTGTCTCTTGAAAAATATAAGTATCCATTTTTTTTACATGTTGTGTTGATACATTGTATTGTTAGTCATTTGATCTATGTAGAATTGAAGTGAAGTGACGTGTGGCCAAGTATTGTAACCCATACTCAGAATTTGTGCTCTGCATCTAACCCATCCAAGTACGCACACACACAGCAGTGATTAATGAATACACACACACTGCGAACACACACCTGGAGCAATATCGATCCACATCGATGTGTTGTTACACCCCTAATAAATGCGTATTTGCTGAATGCTGATGGCACTATTTTCTATGATTCTCTGCTTATTCTGCTTGTTTTTGTCACACTCGCTGATGTGAGATCAAGTGCATGACGCATGAGTTGACTAATACATAGTCTTTAATAATAATCCACAGAAGAACAGACAGGAAATCCAGGCAGACAGACAACCAACGCAGTGTACACATAAACAATAACCAGCAACTGAGAGAACTAAACAAGGAATATTTATACAAACGTAAGAGAGGAACTAATGACTTAATTAAAAGGACACAGGTGAACAGAATGAACTAATCAAGGGAACTAAAGAAAACTAGGTCAAGGAACAAAACTAAACAGGAGAACAGGAAATGAAAGAAATACAATCAAAGTCCATGAACGGAACATAACTGTGACAGTTTTGGGCTTCCCTTAGATATGTTCATTTTACCTTCATAGTAACTGGAGTTCAGATCTAAAAAAAAAAAAAAAAGGCTGTAGTACATAGGTGAATCCGCGATGTGGCCCTTCACAGGGGCGGGGGTGTCCTGTACGCCCATGACGATGGAGTCTGGTGAAACCATGACATCTGTCCTTCCGGCCCTGCTTCTGGTCCTCAGACTGGTGATGATCTAGGTCAGCAAGGTATCAACTTCCGGAATGCCGCCTGCGCCCTCACAACTCTAAACTTCACAACCATTGTCTCGACAGATGTACCAAAAATTTCAGAGGGCGAGACTAGGGCATTTAGAAGAAATTGCTTTTCTCTCTACCTGATGTCTGTCAGTTCAACCACAGATGTCTCTCCATTTCCACCATAGTCCACAGGTGTTTGTTTGGTGGCCCAAAGAGCTAAATCCATAATGTGGCACAGTTCAGCAACCACCTCAGGGGTCAGACTCTGGCCCTGATCCAGAATTTTAAGCAAATTTGCCTGATAGGCCTGTAACACCGACTTTGTGTGCAAGGCTCCCCTGGCCTGACTGCTGCCGCATACGCCCTGTTTTTCAAGTGTGATGTGGTCTGAAGGAGCCTGGATGGCAGGAATGGTGCCTTCAAAGAAGATGACTCACATTAGGAGAGATAGTGCATAAGCATCTCCTCCACAGGGGGCATATTCACCTATCGCCACTCAGCTAATTCTTTCACATCCGTGTAGTTGGAATGATGAAACGAATGGATCCAGGGTTAATGTGGCTTCTTCCATGACTTCACTTCAGCATAGAGGTTGGGAAGGAATAGAAGGCTCACAAGAAAGGATGAAGATAGCTTGACAGGAAGCACTCGTCCAGTCTACCACGAGTGATCTCCCATCTTTCATGCCCCTAACCCAGATCCAATCTGGCTGTGGCACAGACCATGACATCTAACAACTTGAGATACAGTACATCCTGATTCAGCAGATCGCTCAAGACTGCAGGCAAAGAGCAAGAGACAGCCATCCCTCTCTTAAACTCTCTCAGCCCCCAAAAAAACTGAATGTCCATGCTTCTTGTAATACATGTGTTGCCTCACCTGGTGAGGGTGCTATCGGTTAAGGTTCTACTGAGAGGGGAGCCGAATAAAGTAGTTGTTATTGACATTCTTGGAATTCAGTCACGTTTATAACATGGTGTCAGAAGTATAGAAATCCAGCCCAATATGGAAGGACTAAAGCCGCCACAACCACTGCAATTTGAAAGTAACGGCAGAAAACTGGAAACTGTACATGACTGCATCTAGCGTCGAAACGAAAGATAAGAAATCTTCTGCACACTGCTACACGTCATTAGTGATGAAGCCCTAGAAATCTACAACACGTTCGAGTTAGCAGAAACTGAAGACAAAAACGACATTACAAAGTCATAATAAAGAAATGTAATATCTACTTTGAGCCGCAAAAGAATGTGACGTTTGAACGGCATATCTTCAATTAGAGAGTGCAAGCACCTGGTGAAAGCATCGATCAGTTTGTAACCAAAGCCAAGTCATGTAAGTACGGACAACTATGTGAGTCTAATAAAAGACAGAATCGTTGTAGGCATTCGTGATGACGCTCTCCGGGTCAGGCTGCTGAGAGAAATTGATTTAGATTTGCATAAAGCAATTCAAATGTGCCGCGCTGCAGAGGCGAGCCGCACGCATCTCTCTCAAATTCAAGTTGCATCAGACACAGAAGTTCACACAGTAAGACAAACGTGAACAAGACATGGAGCACAAGACAATGATCCAGACATGCCACGTTACATCATACGAAACTGTAAGTACTGTGGAAGAGACCACAACAAAGGTAAATGTCCAGCATACGGAGTAAACTGCAAAAGGAATCATTTTGCTAGTAAATGTATGTCTTCCAGACCTCAGAAAAATATAAATACTGTATCTAAAGAGACTGCTTCAGAAAAAGAATTCTATGTTGATGCTGTGAATGCAAGAAGTGGAGAGGATTGGATGTTAACTATCAAACTGATTGGCCATAAAACAAAATTCAAGATAGACATGGGGGCTCAATGCAAAATCATTCCACAATCGATACACGCTCAAAGCTGTTACAAAATAGAAAAATCCAAAGCAAGGTTAGTGACATATGATGATCAGTGCTTGAAACCTAAAGGTAAATGCTTGTTGTTGGATGAATACAAAGGCAGATATTACGACATTGAAAGCCAGATTCTGGAGGATGATGTACAGCCGCTACTTGGACTAAAAACATGTATACATTCAACATAGCAACATTCAAGACCGATATGCTGACGTTTTCACAGGACAAGTTCAAGTTCAGTTTATTTATAAAGCACATTTTAAAACAGCCACAAGCCGACCAAAGTGCTGTACAAGTTAGAATAAAATTTAAAATTAAGTACTCTAATAGAGCTCCGGACGTCACGTGACCCATTCTGTATACACCACCATGCTGGCAGGCAGGGACAGCCGGGAGCGAATATGAAATGAATGGCGCCAGCATGAGTTTCAAGGCAGCAGAGTTCACTGCGTACTTTTATTCAAAAGACATAGACCTTTGCATAGCAAAACTTAATAGATTAAGCATAACAGATCCGTATAATGCCCTGTGGTGCTTTTAACGTGTAGCCTATCAATAAAGGAACGGATAGATTTCCTGACCTGCAGTATCCTGATATATACAACTACCTCATCAACTTTCCCTCCTAACGTTAGTCTGGAGACTCTTTAAAAGCCTACAAAAGCCTGGAGGGGTACAAATGGACGCATTCAAATTTTTTAATGAATATATTAAACCTGCTATGTCATCACTGGAAGGGTAAGTCAAATGTGTTGTTAACTAACGTAATCGGCCCTAGCTGTCCTTGTAGGTAGCCAGCATAGCAATATCACTGTGAGTATAGTAGACATAATAAATGTCATGAAATCTTAATCCCAAATTTTGTGTTGGTTAGCATGTTTTATTGCAGTGAACCATTTTAGTCGTCTATCGGGATCCTTAGGAATATGATAAAATGATTTCCCCTTTGCTTTATGGGACAATCGTGCATGTACGTGTATATATATACAGTGGTGT